TGCTGAAGCATTTATTGAACTTCACTTTAGCTCCAATGAGAGCAAAATCAGATCCAAGTTGCTTATTTTATTACCATTTGATTTCATTCTAACTCTGATACTCAGCTTAAGTATTCTTATAATAATTTTCAAAGCTATGGGAAAATCCATGGATATTAGTATTTATTTAAGCCCAGTTAAGTTGGATTGTTTACGCAAACAAGAAAGATCCACTTGCCTTTCTTAAATTTATGTATGGGAAGTTTCTTAAGCTGATCTTTTCGAAGCCGATTCCTTCTTGCTCTGTGCCTGTCTTGCACAAATTTGGTGATCTGTAAAAAATCAGACGGGGAAAACAAGAAAATGTAGATAGTACGTCAAGAGAGCAAAAGAACAATGAAATAGCCAACTTTGTTTATGAGTCTCAATTTTAAATTTGATTAAGGTTAAATATCCCCAGGACTGGAAGAGAATACAGCCAGGATTGCCCCTGGCTGGACACAAAGGTCCATCCCAGGCTTTAAATTCATACAGCAATGAAACAGATTAATTTTGCATCACACCATGCCTAGATAACCCTACCAAGCTAAAAGTATACATTTAGACAAGACTACAGTTTTATTAGGAAACAATGGCAAAGTCTTTCCCAATTATCATATAGCCACACTGCTGCAAGCCCTTACAGAGATCAATGAAGCTAAAGGTAATGTGAAAAAAGAGTTGTATATTGCTTGCTGGGCCCAACCATAATTTCACTTTCAGTGGCTTTACATCTGTTTTTCTAACACCAGGTTCTCATCTTGCTGCTTTTGACCATAGTGAAAAGCAGCAGTATACCTAAGCATGGGCAAATGGAACACTAGTCCCAGGTGCCACTTTAGAGACAGTGCCAGAATGACAGCCACCCAAGGAGCCCGTGCTGAGGCAGCAGCAACCCACGTTGGCCCTGTGCAAGGAAGTAAGTGCTTGGTCCCTGCCCTCCTACCCCACCCCTATCTCCTAGATCTCCGGCATTCAGCACCCCAATCTCTTTATGCCCCCCTGCCCAGGACATCAAAATTCCTAGCCATGCCTCTTATGAATAGTTCCTCCTTATTTTTCCTTACAGAACTTCAGATCTTTCTACGTTGTTTCTAAGCCCCCCTCTTTGTATCCTGAGGTTATTTGGATGACCAAAATTAGAAAGGAAATGAAGATACAACTTTACCCATGGCAGAGGCTTTGAACAATACATCTTGGAAAATGCCAAGGCTCACCTTTTTTGATAAAGGTAACACTAGACAGACAACGCAGCAGAAACAGTACAGAGGAGCTGTGCAATTAGCTAGCTCCAGTTCAGCTGAGATTTTTGATGAAAGTTCAACCTTTGCCTAACAAAAAATAACTTGTCTCTTAGCCCCATGGCCATGTATTTATAACATATTTAGAACATGCTGCAGGATGGAGACTGGATTCCCAGATGCTTTTCTCCCAGTTGTGGGAAAAATTATCAAGTGAAACTCTGACCTTACATGTGAACCCAAGTTTCTAATTTACTACCTAGTATTATTTAATACTAGGAGTGCATGGAAAGAAACTGGTCATGCAGCATAAAAGGAAGGAGGAGCAAGCCAAACAAATCTTTTGGAAAAAATGCCTGGATCCTGCCTTGGTTCTGTCTACTGTCTGCACAAGTCCTGATTAGAAATCTGAGTAAATGCCTATTCCTGACCCCAGAGGAAGGGAACTGGACAGACATAGATATAATGGTAGAAATATATCTACCATATCAACTCATATGTCAGACATATTTGTAGCTAGACACTGTACTGAATGTCTTCCTGAAAATGTACCTCCAAGATGGTATGAAAGAAGATAGGTTAATTGAGAAATCCTGTCCCTGGAGATAAATGCATTTAAATAATGTGCAAAATCTCTATCACTGTCCTGGCTTGTTCAGGTTATATTGTTTTCAACAACTGGCCTTGTGGGAAGCAATGAATTGTGGCTGTGCCCTGTTAGGTCAGGTTAGCAGTTATTTTTTTCCCTTTTCTTTTGGAATATAGAGATGAAGGAAATACAATTGGGAACTGCAATTCTAAGGAGAGATATCCTTGTCAGTTCAACTTTAGATGGTCTACACTGACATAATAAATTCATACTATGCAAGGATTACTTTCTGCCTTGGGAACAGTTTTAGGATTTCCATTTCCTTATTAATGAAATAAAGTATAAAATAAATTAAATAAAGCATTAGTGCTCAACCTTTTGGTCTCATGGGCCAGACAAGTGGTGCCAAATTGAGCCCTGGGCACCGGGATTGGGCTCTGGGGCCTGACACTGACCCCATAAACTTGGAATGAACCCCTGGCAGCCTGGCACCACCCTGTTCCAGCCCTCCCCCCCACCCCGGACTGGGCCCTGGAGCCTGACGCCATCCCTACCTGGCCCTGCATACTGAGTTTGGGTGCCCGGTCCAGAGTGCAGAGTCTGGGGCTCCCCGTGGGTCTGGAAATTTGGGTGCAGGGGAGCAGTGCTACCCCTCCTCCACTCTCAAATTTCAAGACCCATGGGGAGCACTGCAGGCTGGATAACAAGACACCACAGGCCAGGGGTTGAGCACCCCTGAAATAAAGAAACTAGTAACTGCTACATTTCATCATGCACAGGCAAACTGGTGTAATGTAAATCCCAAACTAATCTGTTTAAATTTTAAAATTATGGACCTAAAGATTAACCCAAAAGGGTACAAGAACAGTTGATTTACAAGGCTTGGAAGCTGGAATGGTTCTGACATTCCTTTAAAATGTTAGAGAAATTTGCCTCACGTGCCTACCTTTGGTATAAGCCAAAATTAGCTCCTAGTGAAAATGCTTCCTAATTAAAACAAAACCTACCTGAAATGTCCTTAGATAACTCTATGTTAAGTGGGTATATGGTAAATCCTGTTTTTCACACTACCTGCACTAGGTATCCACTTCACCTTTGTAAAAGTATCTCAACATCTTGAATACAATTTTAGTACAATTTTGTTTGATCTTTCACAAAAATGGGGGCTTGGGATTCTTCAGCACACAATACAGCTCAGCATATCTCCGTGAGCATTCCACTGTATCCTGCAGCTCACCTTAAATACTTGTATCCCTACCTTATACAGTCCCACATGAAAATATCCACAAGCAGCATGTCATGACATTTTAAAGGACCCTCATTAGATTTTATGGTTAGCAAAGTGATTAATAGAAGGGATGGTCTATACCACTCAGAGCCACTGTTTCCCTAAGTAGCTTACACTTAGTTCACATTTATGAAGTTAAATCCACAGAAATTTACAACCCTGCCATTTCCCCCAACTTACTCCCAATACATAAGCAAAGAAACCTGAGGCTGAAGTCTCGGTGTCAGATCTACCTCTTCATTTGACTAGCTTGCCCCCAACAATTAGTCCTACTTTGCAAATTTATCCTTCTGAGCTTGTACAGATAGTTAAGTTATTTAAACCTGTAAGTGGAGAACAGGGCTTTCATGGAACTGAGTTGAACTTCACAGTGCTGCTCTCCCACACAACTGTCAGAAACCTGTGCTAATTCTGACCACTGCCCTTTTTCTATGTTGGTGTAATACCTTAAAAATGTGTTAAGGCATACCTTAATGGAGGAAACTGTCCAACTTTTTTGCACAACCTCTGCTTGGAGATTCAACTGACATCCCAAAAACTTTCAAATGAGCATGTCATTCCTATAACATGCTTACTATAATTTACAATAAAGGAAACTGTCATTTTCAGTCAGAATAACAGCTGCAATTCTAAGGAGGGGTGGACTTTTGAAGGGATCAGCCTACACTTTTGTCAGATCAGTCTTATTCCTTGCTGAACTTATCTATATAACTCAGCCCATCAAAGTTCATTTCCAGCTCAAAAGATAAACCCTGAAGTCCAAATGACATTTCTGAAGATGTCCTAATACCCAAGATGGAGGGTGAACAGTGGAACTGGTAGCAACATTCTAAAAGAAGATGTGAAGAAGGACTTAGAAGGAAGCCTCTTTAATCAAAAGGCATCCTTGGGGAAAACACAGTGAAATTTCAAACTTCAAATTTGGCAGATAAGGTTCAGTTCTAGTCCTCAAAGGAAATTTACAAGACACCTTTCACAGACAAGCCTACGAACTTCACTTCATACATCTACTGATACAAAAATTATGGGCTAAATATAGACATTTGATTTATGGCACATTATAACCTGCCTGCCATCCAATAACCCCAGGTAACCTGTCTGCATTTTACCAGCTACACTTTATCACCTTCTCCCTTTTCCCTCCCCCACACCCCCAACTACCTTTTCACACCTATTGTCTCCCATTAACTTTGAACCTTACTGCCACACATATGCATTTTTGTAGACCTGCATTTTGCAATTTGGCTTCTATGCTAAAGCACACAAACACCCACAGACTTTCCCTATGCCTGAAGAAGGGTGTTTGTGCCCAAAAGCTTGCAAAGAACCATTTTTCCAACTATTTAGTTGGTCTAATAAAAGATATCACTTCTACCCAAAGAACCTTGTCTGCCTATGTCCTTAGACCAACATGGCTACAACCAACGATCCTACAACTTCCAATTTTGTTTTCTAAAGTATTCATTATTTTATATACTTTTCCCACATGCCCTCTTTCTTCTCTCTTTTGTAAGATATGCCATTTTTTTCAAGTTGTATTTAGGAGAGAGACTTTCCATGTCATGTAAATTTTCTTGTTTCCTTTTCTTGTTTCTGAGATGGGATGATCAACATTACGCCCAGTGTTCTAGATCACGATTGTCTAGGTGGCCCGTGGGCAACACCTGGCTCATGAGGAGTTAATGTATATCCTGTAGGCTCTCCCCCCTAGGTGCTGCTGCCCTCATTGCTCATGCTGCTGCAGAAGTGGCCAAGGTCTCTAGGGCAGGACAGCACAGCAGGAAGGGACTCAATAAGCTTGCTGCCCACACGGCAGCAGGGGGGGACTTGTGCTGTCCATAAGGCAGTGCAGGTGGGGCTCATGCTGCTCACAACCATAGAAGTGAATGAGGTGGGGCTCACACAAGTGACAGTGGCAGAAAAGGGTCTCATGCTGCTCCTATAATGGTGGCAGGGGGACTTATGCTGCTTCCACACCAGGGATCTCAGCATGTATTGTGCACAGCTCGTGTGGTATATGGCCGGGGGCTGGCGACTGGTGCAGTATGCAGTCCCTAGCCATTCTCAAGTTGGACAGTCCTACTCTAGATGAAACATAACTCTGGTACCATCAATTTACATAGGAGCTTTGTAATACTTTACACCATACTCTCCATACTTTCCTTAGACATCAAACTATCTTGTTTATTTTTTGACTGCACCTACAAACAAAACAGATAAACAAGCATGCTCAAGTTGAAGCACGGAAGGTTTAGGAGAAGCATCTCTTACTAGGATCTTCTCCATTAGGGCCCAAAACTTTGGCATTTACTCATCGCCTGGCCAGTAGCAGCCTGACTCTGATCTTCAAAACATACCGCAAAGCCTCCCAATTTACCTAATATGGCAGGAGAGGCAAAGTACAGCACTGTTGAGGTACCATGTTATCCTAGGTTTTCTTTAAAGACAGGAAAAATGGCTGGGTTTCTCTTGATGTTCTTCTCCATTAGGGCCCAAAACTTTGGCATTTACTCATCGCCTGGCCAGTAGCAGCCTGACTCTGATCTTCAAAACATACCGCAAAGCCTCCCAATTTACCTAATATGGCAGGAGAGGCAAAGTACAGCACTGTTGAGGTACCATGTTATCCTAGGTTTTCTTTAAAGACAGGAAAAATGGCTGGGGTTCTCTTGATGGCTGTATAATTCTAATTGTGCTAAAGGGATCAGAACAGACATTTTTTAAATATGCTGATTATATATGAGAAAAAATAAACTGTGCAGAATATTGTACTGGAAGACTTGCTTCACAAAAGTTCTGTAGTGTTTTTGATTTGCAACTGATTCTTTGGGGAAAGATGAATAGCCAAAGACTTGTAGCACTAGAGAATAACTAAAAAGTGAGTTTCACACATGAATACCTTGCCCAGCTAAGAACTGAATTGGAAAGTTCAAATTCAAAGCATAAATAGCCTCCAGCACAGTTCTTTGTGAGGAACAGCAACGTGCGAGATGGAACCTTTCATGGGCTCTCAGAAGCTCCTTATTATAATTCTGCAATCAAAGTGATGGGAATTCTGAGGTGATTTCCTGCTTCTGATAGAGTTTTCCCTTTCCCAGTAAATTGTTAAATAATCCCTGCAACAGATGGTTTATCCCAGGGGTTCAGGAGCACGTTTCTGAATAGACATTGTTTAGCTTTTCCAATGCAGCAGATTGCAACAGATGGCAGGTATTTTCCAAAAATGTTCATGGAGGAGACTCCTCCTATAAGGTCTTTACCCCAAGTACAAGGTTGAATGCACTGCTAGACTACTACAAACTCAGTACAGTTTTCAGGAACAAAAAGCAAATGTTTTCATGAGGCTGACACTAGCTTAGCAACTGGAATCTCCAATGCAATCATGAAATGCAGATCCAAGGAGATGGAGAGTTCTTACTTAAATGACTAGTCTTCCAAGTCTTCACTCTACAGCACACACACCACTTAATCAGTCACTGCCAATGAGACACAAGAACTAGTACAGGCTAAGGAGGAATACATTTGAAGAAAGGCTTTGTTAAAAAATTTGTAGCACACATTGCTGGTCTGCAGTCGGCAGGGAATTATTCATGATGTCCCTATGCAACTGGGTTCTAGAAAGAAACAACTTAGTGCCTCTGCTGGCTACTGCAACTCCTGTCATTCACCTAGCTAGAACAACTCTTTAACAAGAGTTATGTCTTTAAGATGAAGCAGAACATGGCTAAAACAAGAAGAATAATTACAGAAGATAAATAAACAGAAGATAACAAAAAGAAAAAAGATCGATTTATTGCATACTGAGAAAATAACTGGGTGGTTAACAATGAGCATTATTAGTTTAGATTTTGCATGAAACTCTTTCCACTTGTTTGGTTCTTGAAAAGCATGATTAACTACAATGAGCCACAGTCCTATAACTTTTATTTTTGTCTATGGAGAAAGATTATTCAAAAGACCAACACCTACCATAAATATGACGATGAGTATAAGGCAGATCCCCACTATAATCAGGAATGGAATTAAATAGTATTCCAAAGGAAGACTGAACTCTGGGATTAGCACAATATGGCCACTGTAGGGGGAAAACAGTCAATTTTAAATCAGGTTAAACTGTAACACAAAGCAATGGTGAAAAATAAACACAATCAGGAAATACCACACTGGTATCACTCTCTCTCTCACATAATGAAATACAAATGTATTAATCTGCATGCATGACCAGGCCACCTACTGCAAACTAATAAATCAACAATCAATTAAAAATTAAGATCTCTACTAACAATGTAGGGCTGTTTATTTTTGTACCTCTAGTTTAGTTATTATTGCTGATAATACAGTTATTGTTTAAATCATAATATAAATAACATAATGCCCTCAATAGAGTCAGAGTTCATTGTGTCAGGTGCCTTACATGCACACAGAACAGTTCCTGCTCCAGAAGCCTCACAGTCTAGGACAGGGGTCAGCAACCTTTTACAGTGGTGGGCTAGATGCTTGAGATGTGGCAGCTGTCACTGCAAGCTACCAATTTTTTACCCCCTATCAATTCCCTGCTTCTGTAATCCCTTTCCTGTTCTGTGCCCTCCTTCACTTACTTACACTTAACAGGCTGGATACAAGCTCTTGTGAGTTAGATATGACCCACCGGCCATACGATACCAACCTGTGGGCTAGGATATTAGCAAAATGCAGCAGGACAGAATAACAGTAGGAGGGAGAACAAAATAATCATACAACAAACATATTATTCATAATAAACAGGTGTCCCAACTTCTGTATGAGCATGATCCAAAGACCACTGGATATTAATGGAAACCTTACCATAGATTTCAGTGGGCTTTGCATCTGGCCATATAAAGATGCTGTAATACAGTCCGTAAGCACTGAAACTCAGTGCCCTCTGAAAAGGCCCCTTTAGAGTATCTCAAGTGGGACACCCAATACTGAACATCTCAACATTACTACTAATTTCTTTTAAGGGTAGACCTAGATTTTATTACCCTTTGTAAGAAGAGCAGATGGACAAGATCCTACTAAGACTTTTTTGTAGCTTAAGTGACATTTACATGCTGCTGTATTTATAAATTACAAAAAACTCCATTTCACTCTTAAATCAAGATTGACAGGAAAACAGAGATTATTATGTAGGTATTTCAGCAGCATCTTGGAAGCAAGATATGACAAATTATCTAGAAATCTGTGCATCATTCAGATTTACCAATGCATTTCAGATAACACTGTAGATTTAGCTGTAAATAATGCAGCATGGCAACAAAAAAACCACAAACAGAAAAAATCCCAACAGCATAGATGTCCTTTGCCCCCCCTCAACATTTTAACTATAAGTGTATGACTATTGAAAATGCTGTCTTGAACAGCAATTGGTGGGTAGCATCAAATAGAGATTCTGACTACTACTTCTGACTAGTAAACAAGAAAAGTCATCTGAATGACGCCAGGTATTTCTCATCAGGAATGAACACTTGTAATTATCCCAATAGCATTTGCAGGCAAAATAACTGAAAACGGACAATAGATATAAAGGCCATTCTTATCACCTTTGATCACCTTGAGCAGCACCTTACTCCTCAAAAAGTTCCACTGATTTCAACAATATATCCACTGATGAGCATATGAAAACTAGCCCTTCTGGAGCAATCCAAAAGGAGTAAGGCCACTGACTCCAAGGGAAAAACATAAATGAAGACTGATAGAGAAGGATACTTAAGGACCTGTATTAAATAATCCTCATATACCAGTCTTCTTCTACATTTGCATTTTAATAGTTTTGTTCTCACAATATATTCTTTTCTACATCTTTACACTTCATTAAATGCAGTGTTTCACTTGAAGAACATGAGCAGGGCCCCATCAATGTACTTTAAGCCCATACTGAAGATTCACCTAGGGATGAAAAGATAGTCACCTACTTCTCTGTTAAGTCAAGAAGAATGCCAGTATGTGAGTGGTTTTGTAATGAGCAGTGGGAAAAGGACAGAGACCACCAGACCAATTTATCATGAGCCATCTCTGGATAAGGAATAAATCAATTGAGGCAAGGAAATGAAGGAACACCACAATCCCATTTTAGATTCCCGTTTCACAGTAGAACCTTGCTTTAAAAATAGGTCAGGGCACAGTTAGAGTGGTGTGGATTTGAATGGACATGCTTTCAATTTTACCTGCTGGGCCTCAAAACAAATAACTATTTCATTTTCTGTTTTCAGTCTTTACAGACACAGTATACACATGTAAACTACAGTCTTTAATTTTAACTGTTTAATTATATAGCATTTGGTGATATTATGGTCAAGATTTTTAAATAAGGGTGCTCAGCATTCGATTTTAATGGCTCCTGTTCACACTCTTAATAGGAATATATTTACTTCTGTACATTCAAATATGGATTTACCTTATAAACCAGTTCTTGGAAATCAGTCTATTTTTTTTTAAACATTATGCTAGCCCTGTATTCAAAGTTAATTCCTACACTGCAACTACATCTGAAGGAAAACAGGGAAGTATCTAATAGATATACTGTAATCTTATATCAAGAAAACAACTCTTGTTTATATTTTCTGTCTGTAGTGCTCAGTAGCTTTGTTCTGCTATCACCCTAAATTGCTATAAAATAAACATGCCCCAGTGCTTGGAAGAAAAGCAAGTTTTGGACTTCATGAACAGTTTTATGATGTCAAGCATTTTTTTCACCTTGACAGATAACTGAATTATTCAACTTCTTAACCTGTTCTTCTGGTAACAAAATGTTTGCTATAAAATTCCAAGTCATATTCACCTAAAGAGCAGCAAATTTTCAAACTTAGTTTCCAATACAAATGGACATGCAGAAATACTCAGATAGCTGATCAATATCCATACATACTTTGCTACTCAATAGGAGCTTTGTATACTTAAGTTATCCAAAACATCAAGATTATGTGTCAAGCAAAAAGCAATTTTGATCTGATACATTTTAGAAGGCTAATTAATATAATGCAACCATTTAACAAACAAGGAAAGATGAAACATCTTCTCTTTTAATCAATGAATCCCTCAGAAATATCCAAATATGGCTTCCCCTCTGGTTCAGTGGTAGAATCCTTATGTGCCACACAGGAGACCTGGGTTCGATTCCTGGACACTTATACAACCGGAGGCACTGAAAATATGGACTCAATCCAGCATTTGAATTCTCAGTGACCTGTGGAAGGTCTGGGCAGCCTCCACTCCTCCAAACTCCTGCCTAGTTGTGTGTCAAAGGTCTGGGTGACCTCTCATACATACATCATTATCCAGAAGGACTGACCAAACCTCTGTCCAAGTATGTTTTTCTACAATGTATATGGCAAGATTCAGTGCAGCGCCAAGCCAGCATCATCTTCCCCATGCTGGCTCACTGTGCTATGGGCAGCATGCACCCCACTCCAGGGCTTGCAGTGCCTGCAGTGTGCAGGCTGGACCTGACACTGGGAGCATTGCCTGTACCCCAATGTGCAGGCATGGGCCACACACTGCATATGTCACCCAACCAGGCTCCAGGGCTGCATACTGGCTCCAGGGCCAGCATGGATCAGGTCACATGGCACCTGTGTGCTATATGTGCAGGGTTCTGCAAGCTGCATGTTTAAACCTCTCCTGTAGCTCTGAGAAAGTAAAAGTGCTTTTTCATCTGAAAATGGACCTTTTTCACCCCTGAAAAATAAGTCCTTACATTTATATTTATTTTTTTATGGACAAAAAAAAGTCTCATCTTTTTTGGTTCAACAGAGCAAATACATGTATGATGAAACTATGAGCTCAATTATATTCCTTTTTGTGCACCATTAATAGAAATGTTTCCTATTATGCAACTATGGACCATATTTTCCCTCATTTACAATTATGTTATCCTCACTGAGGATAATCAGGTTGTATAGCTAGCTAACACTGGCGGCATAATTTGGCTCCCAATTTTTTTTTACACTTTGTGGGTCAGAACTAAGCCTGAATTTCAGATCCAAAGCTGAGTTTGAAGGACTGGCAAATGGGAAAAAAAATCATTTACTGAAAAACAGCGTATTTGATTAAAAAAATAACTGAGACATAATAAGCATGGAACTTCCTTGGCTATTTTTAGTGTTTTTCCCAAGTAAAATCTCACTTTAAGTAAATCACCTTGGGTTATACATGAAAGTGGCATATCAGGTAACAGAAACCAGCTCCCTGAATCAGAGAAAATTACGGTTTGAATGGACCTCAGGAGGTCATGTAGTTCCACCCCCTGCTCAAAGTAGGACCATCCCCAACTAGATCATCCCAGCCAAACATTTGTTTAGCCAGGTCCTAAAAACCTCCAAAAATGGAGATTTTACAACTTTTCTGTTCTAGTGCATTACTACCCTCCTGGTGGGAAAATTTTTCCTAATATCTAATCTAAACTTCTGTTCCTGCAACTTGAGATGGTTGCTCCTTGTTTTGTCATCTGCCACCACAGAGAACAGTCTAGCTCCATCCTCTTTTGAACCTCCCTTCAGGTAGGTACTTGAAGACTGCTCTTAAAATCCCCTCTTAGTGTTCTCTTCTCTAGACTAAATAAGCCCAGTTCCCTCAGCCTCTCCTTATGGCTAAGTACAGACATTAAAAAAGGCTGAGCCTGAATTGATTCAATCTTTGCAGGTTACTCTAACCTGCGTAGACTGAACTGAGAAACAAGTGAATAGACATTCATTTTTGATTCTGGGAATGCAGGCATGTGCCTGTAGTGGCTCAGGCTAGAAGCCAAGTTGGGGGGGAGGGCACTAGAGCAAGCCCTCCCTTCCCTTCTGCAGTGGCCAGAAGGCTGGAGGGAAGCTGAGCTGGGGGGCGGGGTCTGACCAGGCCCCAGCAGACTGAGTATGATTAGGTAGGGGTTTAAATCTCCACCCTGGAACCCAGCCAGGGTGTGCCTGGAGGAGGAGAAGAGAAGCAGCCCTTTCCAAGCTTTTTTTTTTTTTTTTTTGGGCGGGGGGGGGCGGGACACGACAACAACACATGGCCAGATCCCAGCTACCAGCTGACACCAAAGGATTGAGCAGCGAGAGTAGGGGCATAGCC